GAGTAGTCTGAGGGTAAAACGCACTCATTGATGACGAGTAGGCCTCAGAGAGGTGGATATCGAGAAGGCTCCATGATGTCTAGTAATGCATATAGACCTAGTGAGTGTAACAGGTTTCGTAGTACATCCTCAACAGATAAGTTACAAGATGCAAGACAAACACGGTTGTGGTTTACACGTGTGCAAGAGGTGCATACAGAAGTGAACTGTGAACCAGTGAGCAAGTTTAGTGATAAGCTAAATGTAAACTCCTGGTCTGACTCCGAATTGTGTGACGATAACGGTTTGGTCAGGAAGTCTGTAGTTGCAACTGGTAAGCCATTGTTGAATAGAGTGTCACAGAATAGAGTTACTGCTTCAGAGTGGAGTTCTGACTCCAAAAGTTTACAAGGTATAACTAGTCAGAGTGAGGATATAAAACCTTTAATGATTTGTCAGGAGGAACCAAAATTGTCTACTTCTGTTATTAAAGATTTTGATAATGATGAGGTCGACCAGATAGATGATGGTAAATTGAATATTTGTGATAATGATCATGATAGTGCAGATTTGTCTTTGGTTGATCATGATGAAATGGAGGGAATGCCTACTGCCATTAAGTTAAATAAAGGTTCTGTAGAACTTGAACGTGAAGTATAAATAAATGCAGATGCAGTTGCAGAAGACATGCATACTTGTGAGACCGTCAGTGTGAGTGATCAGCATGTAGCCCACCTATCATCAGATGCTAGTGCTAAACCTGAGCTGATAGTAAAAGACAGCAGTGGTGGTGGTCTTGCAGGTAGACAAATTTCTGAAAGCCGAACAAGAACAGCTTCTGATCCACCGCTAAGTTCATCAACTGGTATCAATCAGTCGTCGTTGGTGTTGTCATCCACAATGAAACAGACGCCCATCAACTCAACTATCTTCTGCAATGACTATGATAGTATTGGTGCGTTTGAAAAGACGAAAGATATTAGTCAGTTTAGTGAGGATAAGCCCAGTGTAAACGAAAGAGTAATTGTTAAATTGACTTGCATGAATATAGGCATTTCTAGTTTCAAGTTACTATTTGAATGCCATTATCTTTGGTGTAAATTACTCTGCGTCTACGCTTGGTTGACCAGATACGTCGTGTGTATGTTCGTCATCTATGTTCTACGATACAATGACATGAGCGTGTTACCGTTCAGATTTGAAGATATAGCTGATAGGAGGAGGTCAGCAAGTGAACTCTGCGGCGATTCTCCAACCTAGGGCGTCAACCTGAGAAGGGTTGTAGGCGTACTGCTGTAAGTCCTACAGTTCTTCAAAGGGTAGCGCATCAATGAGCAGCCCGACGTTCTTGGTGTGTGATTTTGAACATATGTTCATATTGCATATACTGAATTGATATCATCTGTCATCTAGCTGTTGGTAATTCTGTTTGTGTCCGGACGACTTCCACTTGGATCATCAACCTGAGAAGGAATGTAGGCGTACTGCTGTAAGTCCTACAGTTCTTCAAGGGTAGTTTGTCGTGCCAGAATCCACCACATTTGATGTGTTGATTGTACATATGTTTGTGTTAAATAATTGTGTGAGTTCCAATTGATGTAATTGTTGGTCAATCTTGTTTGTGTCTGGACATTCCACAACTTACAATCGTCAACCTGAGAAGGGTTGTAGGCGTACTGGTGTAAGTCCTGCAATTCTTCAAAGGAATTCCACCAAGGCAGGATCGGCGAGGTTGTTTGTACTATTTGTATATACGTGTGGTGTGTCATATCAATTATTGTTTTTTGGATTCATTGTGTTTACTCGTTGTTTTCGTATCTTGGTGTTATTGCGTAATTTTGTTAAAATTTTCGTCGTGATTATTTCTGAAGTTGTTTCGAGTCTTCCACATCCGTGAATGAATTGATTGATGTTAAAGACAGCAGATGGGTCGTATACGCCGAGGAGGCTATTGCTGAGAATGAAATGCACACGGAGATAATTGTTAGCTGCGGTCCCACACGCCGGGGAGAAAAAGTGTAAACGACTGACGCTCACATACGTCACCGTTACTAGAACTGAGGCAGAACGAGTGACAAGCGATTTCAGTGGTAATTGGTAATGAGTAGATAAGATGATGTGCGTAGAGTATCGTGAGGTGCTGCCATGGTCACGTTGCATTCTGCAAGAGTCATTCTAGGGAGTGGCGATTGTGTTGCAAGTGGATGCCTTTAACTGGAGGGCGCAGGTCGTCAGCGATGTGTGAGATTGTGCTGTGGGTATGCTTGTGGTGTGTTGGCTTTTCTGTTTGTTTTCCATTTCAGCTCTGTCCGTGTGACCCAGGTTCTCGCAATGGCATCCAAGTCAACGTGTATTGGTCGTGATGGAAAAAAGGGGTTGGATCCCTTTTTTGCCGGGGAGTGTCAATGTAGTTGAAGATTGAACGATCAATTCATGGTTGTTTGCTCAAAACCAACTTCCCCAATTTTCGCGGAGGCATCAATACGACAGTCATCGTCTCATCGGTCGCTGTTCAGAAAGAAGAGTAAAACATCGTCAGAAGTAATCTTATGATTTATTATTGTAATATTTGTTCACAGACCTTAGTGGAAATATTTTTTATATGTTGGTGTAACAATAAAGAAATCTCAAGCGGCCAATCGGTGATTTGGTTTTTTCGTCCGTTATTACTAAGCGTTTCTGAGAAACTTCAAGGAACAGCGTGAGCCCGAGCGTAGCAAGAGCTGGGCATTAACGGTTTACGAGACGTGGCTGACATAAACATTCGTCTGTTTTTCGTGGGGAATCCACGATCTCATCATTCTCTGTGGTGTACTATCTGGCGAACTGTTTCCTAAACAGTTCAAATATCACCTCAGTAAGCAATGCCATCTGAGTATATTATTTTCCGATTGGGTGTTTTGGAGTTCGTCAACCTACTTTTGAAAAGTTCGGCTATATCCTCTGAGTTTTGCGGTGCATGAATGGCCTGCATTTCTTTGTTTCTGAGGCCTATATTTCTCAACTCTTCAATTCTATTGAGAAGGGACGTAATGGTAATGAATGACGATATGCCATGATATCTGTGGTGTTTTATTGAGTGCTTCCGTAGACTTTTATTAATAATAATAACAGCGATTTCGGAATATAATCGTTTTGAGGGAATCTGAAGCTAAGAATCTCCTCGGGTGCAATGACGTAATGAATTGAGTTAATATTGTAATAAAAGTTGTTGAGAATTACCTCTAAGCACTCGTTCGAACAGTACTAGTCCCAATTAGAACATCTAATCGAGTGCTGATTCCTCCTCACATGATGCCCATGTCACTCGAACGTTTGACCTGTCGCCTCTCATTTGGGTTCCATTTGACCAACCCGCAAGTCATCTCAGATCACAGAGTACGTTAAATCCCTCTAAGTTTATCATTGCACACTTATTGGATGATAGCCTGCTGGCCATTTCGCTGACATATTCGCTTCTTGTTTCTTTTCCCCGTCATGTGATGTTGAACAACGAGCCGAAACCACAAATATTGATGAATGCCTAAAGTGAACAACTTGAAATATTTTTCGCGAAACACATGTGAATCCTCTGAAAATATAGAAGTAATGACTGAGTTAAAATGGGCGTATTGCATGTGACGATGTGAAACTAAAATGACCAATACCACCAGACTATCACGCATACGGAGGAATATGTTTGAAAACGTTCACAGGATGAATTAAAAATTACACCTTCATTAATGAGAAAACAGGTGTTGCAAAGATAAAAGACATCCCGGAATAAGTTTTATCAGCCATTATAATCAATCACACGTAGATTCACAACATGGTTCTTTGTGTCACTCAGAATGTGCTGACCGAAACTGGAAACAAGTAACTCAGACATTCTCATAACCTGGAGAAACAGAGAAGAAGAAAAACAACACTCGGAACAGTACTTCAGGCAAAAACTCCAGAGGGCTTTAAATGCTCGCCATCTACATAATCCCTATCATACCGGATCAGTTATGTGGCCATCACCTGCTAAAAAATACTCGATAAAATTCGAGATAAGAAGCACGATTTGAAATCATGCATCATCAGTGAAAATGTCCATGGATATAAGCCGGTGAGTCGAAACGCTAGCCTACACCTCACTTGGAGGTATATCATGATTTCTTAGATGATTATCTCCCGCCATGCGCCGCTACATTTCATCCGATGAGAGATGGCCAACTCTGGTCTCAAGATTTGTTCTCTGGAAACAAATACGGTTCGCCATTACTATACTTATCACAAGACTGTATCGTCAATGTCAGAAGCATCCCCCCACCATAGCGCATACTTGAACCACCCACACTTCCCTAAGATACTCGTATTGACGAGGCATTTGTATTTCGACATGACTTATGCGTGGCTAAATCGCTAAATTCAATATCTCGTCGAGCTTAACAAACAAAAGTCTAGGAGTACTTACTTTCGTTCCACAGCACGTACCGTCATTTTACTACTTAAACTCGTCTGCAGATTGTTAATATTGGGTAGAATGCATAAGATATGAATCACTAATTTGGGTTATTATTGGAAAAATTTCTCCAAAACATCATCTACAAATAATTACCTTAACTTTAGACCTCACGTGAGAACACAGGAGAGCCTCTTACCGTACTTCCTTCAGCTCCTAGCTTAGTGTTACTTGAAGCACAGAAGCAATTGTTTCCTCCCAGGCCATGTTAATGCAACAACATGAATATCTGAAATCAATCCAAACTTGGCTGCATATCAAAGTAAGTAGACTCCCTGTGCGACAAATATGTCAGCTAAGTACATTATGAATCATAGATTTTACAGTCATTTCAAGTCACAATTCACGACATACGAACATGTTACAAAAAATAGTCTAAAAATTCACAACTCCCAGCTATATATAAGACAGTAAATATTTTGAAAATTTATGAAGTACACAACGTGCTCTAACTCGTCATTCGACACTTCTCATCCTAATGGGACATTGAACACTGGATTTTGTTTATCTGATCCCGTTTGTCTGTTTACTCGTCACTTAGCCGGTAGCCATTCAGACTTGCCATCCGCCATGAAACGCGACAGTTCAGGAAACAACCAGGATGGTCCTCCAAACAAATTCCAGCGTTCGTCCGTTGATCTGACGAATGTTTCGATTAGATTTCTCATTCCCGGACGAGCTGCAGGGATTATGATTGGGAAGGGTGGGGAAAATATCAAGAAAATCCGGTCACAGGTTTGTTCTCGTACATTTCATTTAGTGACTTGATCAATCGTCGTTTTGGCACCAACTGACTCGATTCTTTGTTTTATGTTCTTTATGGTTCCTCCACTCCCGGAAACTGACTCGCTGAATCTGGTCGATCTCCACTGAAAACCCCCCATGGCTTGGGTTGATACCACTTACCTGCCTTATTCTCAAACTGATGACTCTGGCTCACTGAAACCGGCCCTGCTTTTCCCATTCCCTATCACAGTATAACGTCAAGCTGAATATTCCCGACAGCAGAGGCCCAGAACGGTAGGGTTACATCGAAACTTAATGTCACCTTGATGTCTATTCGGTCGATTAATTAGTTTGCCTAAATTATTATTATTTTCATGTTTTTGGTTCATTATTGTATGTTTGTAAAGTCAATTTTGGATTTCATTTACAAAGTTAAATTCCTGGTTGTGTTTGGTTATCAGTTTAACTACAAGTTACAGCAGTCACTGGGATCCCCAGTGATCTGACCATTCAGTCTATTCCATTGTGTTAAAAGCAAGTTGATGACAGCCCTCATAAGGTTGTCCGTTCCTCTGAACTCTACACGGTCCTGCCACTGAATGGAAGGGCGTTACAAGTTTTGTTAGGTGGTTTGTGTTTTCGTATGCTTCCTGCTTTCCCGTCCTAACTTGTTTTTCTTGTAATAGGATAATGACCATCGAAGGTGATCTGCAGGCTATCTGCAGTATCATGCGAGACGTCTGTCCGAAACTGAAGGTAAGTTGAAGTTATTGAGTCTGACGTTTTAGGACATAATGAATGCAAAGCTTTCCGACCCGAAGCGCATTATGGGTACTCAAGCACTTCGCCGACGTGGAAGGCGCAGCGAGGAACCTGAGCGGGATGAAGATGAAGACGAAAATATGATTGACTTCAGAATCCTAGTGCACGAGAGTCAAGCGGGTTCTGTGATCGGACGTGGAGGAGAACGCATCAAGGACCTCCGTGATGTAAGTGTGCAATTGTTCCTTCTGATGCAAAATCTAGAAATTCAAAATGCGCGTTATCAAGGTCTACCAGATGTTGGCTCCCTTATCAACTGATCGGGTAGTACAAATGGTTGCTGAGCCAGATAATGTCGTTCAATGCCTGAAGGCTGTGATAGAGGCAGTTGAGGTGAGTGGAAATAATCTTTGTCCATGTGAACCATGATTAACACATTAAGTGTCTTAAGAGCCCACCTTGTTTCTGTCTACATACTGTTGAGTATCAGATTAGTCTTGTGTCCGTACGGAGAGTAAAGCCGTCTATACTTTCAGTTTGAATGATTTCTTGTCACTAAGATGTATGGCAATGAAAACGGCGGTTAGATGAGGTCTTATGTCTGGTTAACATCTATTTGGAGACACTGTCCAAGGTAATGTGAGAAGACAACTTGTTTCCAGTGTGTGGCGCCGGGAGAACTAGATAGCTGTACTCACTCGGTTTGGTTGCACGGTTACGGTTTTTGTGTTTCTAATGCTGCTTTTTATTCCTTCTGTTTTTCAGTCTGCCCCTCCTCGTGGTCGCCGGGAGGATTACGATGCTGCCAATTTCAGTGAAAGTGATGCTCTCAACTACGGTGGCTGGCTGTCCCGAGAAGCTGCTGCAGCGCTAGCTCAAGGGATGCCACTTCGCGGTCCTGGGGGAATGCCTCCGATGGGCGGCTACAATATGGGAGGCCCATACATGATGGGCGGTGGTGACATGGGTCCCATGGGTGGTGGAATGGGCCCTATGGGGGGAGGAATGGGACCAGGTGGTGGCATGGGTCCAATGGGTGGTGGACCAGCTCATGGCGGTCGGGGTCGAGGCCCTCGTTCAGGTGGCGGAATGATGGGCGGTAATGCACCTCCTCCACAAAGCCAGCGAGGTATGATGGGTTCTTCAGGTCCAGCCCCAGTACCTCCTCCAGTCGGTCGTGGCGGCGCTATGGGTCCACCAGGTGGATACGGTGGTGCTGCAGACGGGGGCTATGGTGGTCCAGGTGGGTACGACGGACCCGGCGGATTTGATAATGGAGGTTATGGTGGTATCGATCAGGGAGCTCCAGGTGGATTCGGTGGTCCAGGTTATGGTTCATCAGGAAACATGTCCTCTAGTGGCTATGGTGGGGCGGGCTACGGTGGAGGTGCACGCGGAGCTAGCGACATACCGGGTGGTCAGAGGTAAGTGAAGTTATAATCATTATTGATTTTATCTTGATAACAACATGCCGACCAACGTCTAAGGTCCCCAAGTGTGCTGATTGTCGGTTTCGTGGGAACTAACGGAAACTCTAAAGTCACTTGGCTTCGCACAGACACTTGGACTGACTTTGCGAAGACTGGAAACATTCGGGCCCTAAGGTCTTCAGCGCACACCTCTGAATTGTCCCAATCAATCCTTACGGATTAGGATGGTTTCACTGCGACGCGGCGAGAACGTGAATTTCATATGTTTCTCATCATGACTCGGACTCAATAACACTTGTGTGTTGGAGAATTGCGGACAGCAGTCCAATTCCATGGTATAATACTGGTGGCAGATCAGGCGTACACCAGTGTGAACTCAAGTGTGAGGGGGAAACGCTTCATTTAAAAAATGACTTCGTACGTCCAGTACATCGCGGTCCGATAGACCTCTGTCATTTATGTTTCGACTTGTGTGGTTTGTATCGGTACTGACGGTATCTTTGTTTCTCTTACAGTGCTCCTTCTCGTGGTGGTACCTATGGAGGGTATGGCGGTATGGGCTCTGGAGAGCATGTTGGGGGCAAAGGCAATCAGTGGTATGGTGGATGGTCCTGAACACTTATCTGCATTTAATTTCAGTAAAATTGTACTTGTTAATATATGACATCAACACTAACTCATCTTAGTTCTTGCTGGCTAAAGGTTTAGGCTCATCTACACGAATAGGACCCACTATCAAGTGGTATATTTGATCTATCAACTATGCGCTAGACACTGATTAGTTTATCGATCAGCAAAATCGATACCGATTTGAAAATACAGTGTTACAGAAATGTCGACGAAGATAAGTGAATGGCTAGCATACGAACAGCACTACTTATCAGATGCCAAGTTCCAAGGAAGGAGTGCTCACAAACATGTTTTCAGGCTTACAGGTACGCTTTTCTGTTCCTGCTTGCATTTACACATTAGGGGCTGCGCTTATTTTTCTACAGACGGTTGAACTAATGAAGCGGGTGGTGACAGTCCACTTTGCAAGAAGACCTACTTGCTGCTTCGTAAGTTCTTTGTGTTATTAAACGTCCTGTATAATGTGCTGACTGAGGTGTGCACATGTTTCATGTTCGCAAACCGCTTGTCATATGATAAACTGTACGGGTGAAAGGTTCGACTGCTTGGTATACCTTTATGACTAGTACTATTCCCACTGATTCACACCCACTAGTCCATCACCATCTTTGCCGTCAGCCGTTTATTGTCCGCGTCTAATTGTATTGTGGTCCCAGTTCGCGATTTTCTCTATGTGTCGAGTTAGGGTTCAGTTCATCTCGCCTGCATGGGTAGGTGGTTTGCAAAGTTGGGACTAAGGTGAAACGGATTGGGAACTGCTCGTAAGATCTCTGCTCCTTCGAATGTGGGTCATAAGGGTGACTGCGTTAGAGACAGATGCAGACGTTGGACTGACCATATTAGGTGTAAGTTTCGATGACACATTGAGTGTAAGTATGTGCATTGTTGCTACCACCTCAATTCAGAGTCGTAAAGTGACTGGGAAACATGCGTTTGTCGACAAAGGGCTTCAACAAATGTACGTGTTCGGACATATGCCAGCAGGTGCGGTGGTACTTTGAGATGTACCTGAATTGTTCAGTAACCTTATTAGTATGTCCAACTTATTGGAAAAAGCGGTTGTAGGGATGTTTAGTATCTTTGGTCAACGTGAACAGATGCCGAGATGAGGGCAGTTCGGTTGGTGTATGACTTGCATTTGGCAGCGGTAGACTGGAGTATTGTAGTTTCCACAAACAGGAAGTCCTGGTGTATGCATGTGTGAATGAAATACAGTGGTCATACTTCACCAGAAAACCGTTCAATGTCTGGCATGTTAAGAATTGCTTAGTAGACACGACTGTCAGATGTTAGCATGCAATACTTGCGATAACAGTCTGGTTTTCCACGAGGTTTCAATTCGGTTTCTGGAGACGGTCACATCTACCCGTGAAGGTAGGGAAAGCGAGAAGGAATCTAAGATCAAGACTGATGTAATGTTTCAAGTGGTGTGAATGGAGAAGTCTCATCATGAATGACAGTATGAAATCTGTCTGGAATCAGTAGCACTTGCCATACTTAACTTTCGCAGCTTGGTGTGGTGAATTGCATCTTCAATGATGGTTTGAAGGGACTACCAACATAGTATTCATCACTGTGTTTACTATCACCAGTGCTGAAATCATATTCGTCTACCAGATGAAAAGGTATAGGTTGACTGCGTAGTGTTGTTTTTCATTAGCATCATAAATGCAATAATATTAGGGCGTTTTGAGGTCATTATCAGATGAAGGTAGGAAAACAACACGGTTCAGTGCGTTCTTGGGTTGAGTGTAAGTTGATAAGCGGGATAACTGCAAAAGCAGCTGGTCACAGTCTGTTGTGGCTTCGATTTATATGCTGTTGGACGTCACGTTCAGTCCTTTAATCGTAAGACTCCGTTTATTTGAGGTTCACTCATGAAACAACAGTCTCACCCGCCTTACTTCATTGTATGGGTCGACTGGTCCTACAGTTGCAAACACTTCATACCAGTAAAGTGGTGATTATGCCGCCGGTAATTCCTTTCTACTGGGTATGTCCATGTTCCAATTAGACTTGGATACACGTTAGGCTCTTGTATTTTGACAAAACTTTATTTCACCTCTAATCAGTCTGACATAAACTGCGGCTTGTCTGTAGTTAGAGCGTCACGTTACGTCATATGCGCTGTTCGAATCAGGACGTAAAGCCCAAGGTTCCTGGTGAGGACTGTTACGTTCTGCATGCATCAAACATAGTGTTTTATATCCCACCTCCAACACTGTAGTGGTTATGCTACGGCATGGAGATTGTCTCTGGACACCATCCTCTTCCGTAAACTAGGTCGCACGCGTAGACCAGAAATTCTCAGACTGAAACCTTGCGGATTTACCATGTTGACAGCAAAACCTGGTTGGCGACATCTCCAGTGGTGACTTAATATGGGTGGCTGAGCTTTGGGTGCGTAGTTGCGAGTCTAATTAGTTTAGCTACCAGTACTCCCGGGACTGCCAACAACCTGGAATATATATTTTGAGTATTTGTAACAGCCAGAGAGGACTAGTTTTTCCAGATTTCTTCTGATCGTCGGAGAGCAGCGGCGTGGCTACGGACAGTGTATGTCAGGTGATCAGGCGTCATCTAATCAAATTGTAGTCTGTGACGACGTGACTAGGAGCGGGTTAGTATGATGTAGGTTCTAGCAGACGTTATTCGGCCTCTTACCGAAGAGAGATCTGAAAGTGGAGACAATTGTAGTTGATCTTCCTCTCCGTCTTACCACAAGTAACTGAACGTCTTCGCTGAGCATTGTTCAATATCTGTATAATCCATGTTTGTTGTGTACAGATAGACCTTTGTAACGACTTTTATTAGTCCTAATGTACATGACTCCTACATTGTAACCGTTTACTTCTATGCATGTCTCGCTGTTGTGTTGCTTATGTCGATTTCTTGTAATAAATTGACATTATTGTTAATAATACACTCACAAGTTTTCAAGTATGTCTTTTCGATTTAAGATTATCGAGTTCTTAGTCATTGCAAATGGTTTCTGAAACACTAGGATAGTCAAAATTCCGAGTAGTATGAGTTGCCGCCTGTTCCTCGTTCTGTTTGCCCAATAAAACTGCATCAGGTCGAATGGAATTTGACGATGTGATGTGTTTTAATCGTGATCAATCAGTTATGTGGCGATATTCAGTCAGTCGAGAAATCAAGCTGTGATACAGGCACTGATATATTGGTACATAGAAGGTTTAGCGTGCCAATAGTGTCCATAATGTAGTGGAAAAATATGAATTCAGTCGCCCTATTGACCTAGCTACATTTAGGGAGACATTAGAATAAAGTGGCACGTAAGGATCGTAGTGTTGTGAACAACTAACGATTTGACGCTTCGGGTTGTATGTTAATCTTCTTACATTTATCAGTGCTATTTCTAGATTTAAGATTTACTGTGTAGCTTCCATACATTCCATGGTCTTATTAATAGACTGCTAGATGTCTCATGAAAACACTCCTATGGAAGTTGCTGTAAGTGATCAGGATGAATAGACGAGCAAATAAGCTCATAGAAGTTCGTCCTCATATAATGTGACTATTACTATTATTATGGGAAGTGTGCTTAGTTTTAAAAGGGATCTCGAGGTTGCCGTTGTGTTTGCTACACATGTCAGGTTAGGACATACGGCTTCAACAACACATCACTACATCATCAGTTCCTTTGTAACCACTATCAATTGGCTCCATTGTTGTCTATAAGTATTCTCTTCCTCACATGATCTGTATTTCATCATTGGATCGCCTACCTTTCGCTTCTAATCGACATCCTGGCGTGTGGTGTCATTCAAGAGCCTCTCTTATGTGTATGTCCAAACCATCTCATTCTGAATATTTATTGAGCAATAAGTGCTTCTCACACAGTCACTAGTCAAACCTAATGTGAGACCTAAGAGACAATCCCATTGAACTCGTAAAGCATTTTCTGAAAACAGTAGAGTCGTATTAAATTAGGTATTGCATAGCATTGCGAAGTAGTAATCAAACACTGACGCTGTCATAGATATATTAACCATTTCAGATGGTGGGACGTAGGTAACATTTTTTGTGCTGATACCACCCAGCTGGTGGTCAGTGTTCATGCACAGGCTTTCGTCAATTTTGTCCTCTGAGTATCAGATGAATGAAAGCTTCGTTTCTCTCCATCACCATTACGACCAAAATTATTATGGAGGACGAAACTGGTGTTTACTGATAGATATTGAGCTGCAACAATTGAACCTTTATCCGTTTGAAGTTTGGAAGCTGTAAATTTGGGTGCTGTGACCATTAGTGTTGTGACTGTCTTGTCGTGCTCGTTTATTGTCAGTAGAACAATGAACAACCGCTGATTTGCCAATTCCTCTTCTGGGTTAATTGCGATTCATAGCGTGCTGAGTTGCGTCTGTTGGTCTTCTGGAAACAGCAGCATCTTCGGGATCCGTGTGATGAGAATCTTTGAAGCCGGTACATTTACGGTTACTAATCCTACTCCTTTGAAAGTTGTTAACCGCTCCGGTGGATTTAAAGTGTTTGTTCTACTCAGCTAGATCTTACAGTGCAGTGTTTTTGTTTTGACCAAGGAGGGGTAAATATTGTAAGTTGCCTAAGTTGGATCCACCGTGCTTTGACGTAAGTCCGATGGACTACCCGCGTTTCATGAAGGAAACCAAAGCTATGCTGAGTGATTTCAGACTCAATGAGGAAATAAGGTTGATATATTAACTAAGGCATTCTATTGGTGCTGTGGTTAACGCAATACAATGCTGTGAACTCATGGCCCCAAATAATAATATATTCTCAGATTTCATACTTGAGGGACGCCAGTTTACAGGCATCATGAATATGACAAATGATATACGTGATGGGTTATCGTGTTTACAATTTTTCACTTACACAGTCACTGTCACCCAAGTGTCCTACCCGAATCCAAGGGAAGAATGACAACGGGCCGTTTCTATCGGGATCGGCCGACTAGTCCCAATATTAAGTCCCCTACTAGCAGAAAACGTAATGTCGACTACCCCAACAATACCCTGAGGTTGTGAGACTCACTGTCAGCCGCCTATATAGCAATGCGAGAGGACTGAGAGGAAAGGTATGTGAACTTAGAAACCCCCAGTCACACCTACACTTTAGAATAATCATTCTCACCGAAACCCGGCTAACCCCCACTACCGCAGACAACAAAATCAGTTAACATGATGTGGTTCCGGCCAAGAGAGACAGGGATAACAAGGAAGGAGGTTGCCATATACTTTGACAATCAACTTAAACGTGTATGTGCAATAGAGCCACCACTTATTGAGCTCCGAGACTCCATATGTTGTTATTTCACTGTAGGCTACACCAAACTTCATGAACTCGTTCATGAAGCCGGCTCATCCTCCCGTAGGAGATAGCCGAAGTAAAGTAAAGTAAAGGCTACACCAAACACTTACTGTGTGACATTTACCGATCACCCACCTGTGTAGCAGAGCGAACCAGCTACTGTTCAGCACCATCACAGGGATACGAGGCTTGGGATATGACCATAGCTGGAGATTTCAATGCCCCATCACTGAACTTTGGCTCGGGGTATGCTTAGGGAAAGTTCGGTCAAAATCTGCTGCAAACCATTCGAAATACATGAATGACTGAGTCCGTATCAACTTGATTTGATTGTGAGCAGACGTTTGCACTCGAGACGTCATTAGCTAATACTACCGTACAACACCGTGTTATTTATGAAAATAAAATCTTATCTGTAATAAAGTTATATTCTACCACAGTGTCCAAGTTTTATACTTATATCAAAAGGACTGATTGAGAATGTTGGAGCCACAGTGGAAAGTCATCGGCACTAGATTACATTCCAATTATTATTATATCCTTTAATTCCTAGAAGAACATAGGGCTTCAGCTGCGTATCTCTATTGCCTTCGGTTTTCTGCCAACTTTTTCACCCCGCTCCACGTCTGGCCACATGCTTTCATCTCCTCATCACATGACTTCGATTGATGGTCATCGAAAAAACCCGTCAATCTTTTGAACATGAGTGTTTCATGAAGTTTAGATGGAAATATGCCTCGTTCGCTGTTCAATTCGACATATGATGAACCTGTATATACGATTCGCCTTTGCTGAATTTATTGTAAATGGTATTTAGCTACCAAGCAGATTAATCTGTTATTGATTTATGGATCTGTTGTAGGCATTCATTAGTACACATCTATTCTTTCAGCCTGCAATAAGGTAGCACATATATCTCATTTAACTTATGGTATGTCGGTTGTATTTCACTGAGATGATTAACTTATGTAACAAAATGGAATTCGATTATTACCTGTTTCTTGTGTTCGACAACTAAACACAATCATATCAACATAGTTTCAGATCTTGTTGAACCTTAATAACGTCTCTGACTGTTGCTTTGATTTAACAATAGAAATGTAGACTGGTTATTTTTCATCGGGAGGTTCGAAGTGTTTCATTGTTTATTATAGTGCTTTTGACTGTTACTTGACATTCTCCAGTCGATAGCAGCAACTTTATTGGCGTGGTGATTGGGTTGCTTATCGAAATTACCCATTTGAGATATACTGACTGAAACTACTGTTCCTACTGGTCGATTGGGGTCTGTGGCTGAATTGGTCTTGCAGGCTTGTAGTGATGTGTCACTATTAAGGTGTTTCTCTCAGATGAGCAACGTCACTTTTGTGCTCTGGAGGAAAACTGTACCACTCTACTGACTTACTTTGCGGTGATCAGTTGCCATATCTGTATGATGTTAATACGGACATAGTCCCGTGAAACCTGCCTCAAGCAGTACCCTACCTAGCCCGTGTTCTGTGTGATAAAGAATGCATCAGGCATGAAACCTTTAACTTATCAAATAGTCAGTAGAACCAATGGATCTCGTCTTTCCAACTCACATCATTTATAGGTACAACGTTTTCTCGCTCTTCATTCTGTATTTATTTTTGTTATGTGCTGTTTTGTTTCTCTCTTCCTCGCAAACTCTACTTAAAACATTCTTGTTCGTTCTTTCACACTCTGTATATCTCGACCATTTTACTAGCGCTTATGCCAGTAAATATGCTAGTAGTATCTACTTTTCTAACACTTTCAAACACTTTAATTTTGGCTTTGCTACCGACATACTAATATGTTGTTGAGATAACTTTAATCTATGTAGAACTTTATTTATTGTTAATGTAAAAACTGGATGCAATATTGTAGTAAAATGCTGAGAATTCCATTCTGTATCACAAGTACTGATTTGGAATAAAGCTTATGTTATGTCTCATGGGCACTGCGGTCACAGAACGCTATGGCTCCTTTTGTCCCAGGTATTCCAAGAAACTCCCATGATGTGTGGGCTGCCGGGAAGTCATTTGAACACTAACGTGCTTAGGGTTTGTGCATTAATTTTTTAGATATGTCTTTGAAAGGATGAAGATCAATCAAGCGGATGTGCTTGGCGTTGTTTCACTCTAAACTCTATGTTGTTTAATTGTGATGCTTTTATTCCCCTCTAGAAGATTTTGCCTAGAAAGGTAATAACGAGAGCTTATCAATTAAACCATCCATCGTAGAAATCACATCAATACCGAAGTATATTGTCCTATTTTACTGATATATATATATATATATATATATATATATATATATATATATATATATCTGATTTGGTTTGTATCAAGACTAATTTCACTTGGTAATTATACGAAGTTTAACAATGAGCTTCGGATGTTTTCTTGATGATGAATAGTCAGACTCATCCCGCTGTTAACTGATTTCCTTGAATGCGTTATAGAAGAATCTAGTTCTACTTTACATACAACTTCATATCTGTGAGATAAGTATGTCACTTGAGTGTTTCAGTCACAAACATATATATCGCAACTGTATCGTTCTTGCTCAGTCTAACTTTCTGGAAATTGAAATGATTTGATTTACTCGAGTAAATTTTCCTGA